TTGAATGTCTTGGAGGTGCTTATTGACAACTTCCTAATATCTTGTATTACAGCATTCATCAATACTTTTTATAGCTAAACGGCCTATAGGCATTTATCTATAACAAGAAATAATATATACATATAATACATATTTCGCTTAAGACGGAATTTGCACGCCAGGAAATTCATAACAAAAACTACAAATTAACTAAGTTGTCAATAGATGGCGATTAGATGCACTTCTGCGAAATAATTCAAATGTTGAATTATACCTGCCTGTTTGCCAAGTTGTGTAAACTACTTTCCGGCGACCCGACAAGCGTCCCCTCCCTCCCAAATCTAAAGTGCTCGTAACATTTTATTGTACCGCCGGACGAGACGAACACTACATTACATTAGAATATCGAACCTATAGGGACCGTATTTAAATAATTTTGTCCACGAACACTTAATAATAAATCAATATTCTACCTCCTAACTAAGAGCATATAGTACCCATATATCACGGAGTGAATTATGATAATTCACGCTTTTGTAATTCTGGCACATTCCAGTAGATAACTAAAGATAGGCGATACTTTTCATAACGATATTTTCTAGATCGAAAAATCAAAAAATCAAAAATCGATAAATCGAAAAATCAAAAAATCGAAAAATCGAAAAATCGAAAAATCGAAAAATCGAAAAATCGAAAAATCGAAAAATCGAAAAATCGAAAAATCGAAAAATCGAAAAATCAGAAATCGAAAATCGAAAATCGAAAATCGAAACAGAATTGTTATTTCAAAATATAATATAAATTTTTATATTTATTTATCATATATTTTAATGTACAGAGGTTACAATTTGGTTAAAAAATAAACTATAAAATAAAACAAGCTGAAATGAAAGTGGATATTAACAACGTGGCTTGGCAAATTCAAATTCCAGACGTCAGTGCAGGGTGGTGTGAACGCGCGCATTTCTAGACCCGTCAACTACAACCACATACTATGATTACTATACAAGGCAAGAGAGAGGTCCGACACGCCCAACATAGGGCGCGGCCATTTTGAACCCTGTGACACAGTTTACAGCTAAAGAATCAGATCGCTCACTCTGCGTCGGCACTTTGGATCTCAATGTTTCAGTTTATACACTGCGTAACTCGGATAATACAATATATGACAACCGCTTATAATAAAACAGCAGTCTTCTGCGTATCCTGAATTTGTATCCCTGGAGTGGATGTTATTTTGGAACTTTCAACTGGTCCGAGTGAGCTAACTGATTCTTTAGCAATAAACTGTGACTTCAAAAATAATATTTACTGACACTGACAGCAGCAAGCAAAATATCAGGTGCGTTTTAATCATCCGCTTCTGCTTCCGGAATTGTCGGTTTAGTCGTTTTAACCTATCAAATTAAAACAAGAAAACCGACAATTCCGAAGCAGAAGCGGATGATTAAAACGCACCTATTAAAAATATTGCGCCAAGATGTAGACAACACGTAATAAGGGTTCAAAATGGCGGAGTTTTCTATCTCCTTTTAAAAGGCACTCAGAAAGCTGCGCAGTGCGACCATTGATGATGAGCAACCAATCTACATAGATACCATACTGAGAGATAGAAGGCTATGGAACGAAGAGATGCTACCAAAATTACAAACATTTTATGAAGAAATGATTATACTGGAGTTGATATATAAAAATATACCAAAAGGGTTGAAATGTAAAGATCCACCTATGATTAAAAAAAAAATAATAAATTATTAGAAAGATGTTTTATATCAAATAATTCCTTGGCTTACGCCTACAAAATTAGTACTTACCAAGTTACAATTATTTAAAATATGAGTTTTTAATAAAACTTACACATTAAAAGTTATTAAAACATGTATAGATAAACTAATACATGTTTTATTATTATTAATAATATTATTATTATTAATAATGCCCGTGTTCATGTACAGTCGTCAAACATGTTTTGCTTAACTGTCAATCGCTTCACTACTTCTTTAATCCTAATGGATAAATAATGGCGCAAATAGATTATGCTTTTATTCTTAAGTAGGCCAACTGTGCCCAAAATCTAATCAGCTCACTGCAGGCCGGAATAAGACGTAATTTTAAAATTTGGTGTTTTTCTGTTTATCCGTTCATGAGTTATCGAGTATACAGACACACACAGAGACAGCATCGCGAAAATAGTCAAAACGGATTCAGGGGACCCCAAAACGTAAAAATCCGACAAAAAATCGAGGTCGAAAAAAATCATGATAACTATACTTTCCTTATCTGTATACAGATAGGAAAGTAAAAAAACATAGAATGTAAACAAAAATACAGAAGGTTAAAAGGACTTTAGATGAGATAATAATAATAGTAATAATAATAAAATTTAAACTATGCTACAATAAGCAGTGTGATAAATTTATTGTATTTTCAATAAATAATTTAAATACTAAAGTTTGCTCTTACTTTTAACTCTTCTCAACTAATTTGTGAACCCACAAACGCATTTGAAAGGCCATGATCGATGTTTTCACATGCATCATGTTCGCGCCAATATTCAAGTAAATCCAGCCAGAAAAAACAAAACTCAACATTATATTTAATATCTGACAAATTACGTTTTTATATTTTGTAATATAAAAAATGAAACATTTTACAAAAGCTCTACACGTTTTAAATGTTTCTCCAAAACCAGATATAACACAAGTTACCTAATTTTTATAATAAAATAACGAACTTCCTTGCTTCCGATACTTCATAACAATATGTCAACGTTGCTCGATATAAATTTGAAATTTTCAGGTGGCGTCATCTATATAAGATTGCCTGAACCTAAAATTACAGGGATTACACCTATTTTATGTAATGTTGGTTGCGTTTTTTGGGTTAAAATTAAAAATTTTTGTGCATATAAGACTGGAAAATGAAAGCAAAAATTGAAATATTTCTTATGCGGAGCCTCTAATGGGAATATATTCTAGTTCCTGAAATAGTTTTTATAGCGATTTGCGATGACTTTTTTACATGTAAAATTTTCACAAATTCGTTATTTTCTCCATTCTTTCAATTTTTTTCCACTTTAAAATATATTCAGGAACTAGTTTAATATTATTAGAATATTATAAAAGCAAATCCGCATAAATTCATTGTCTAGAAAGCCCGTCTTATATGTTGAAAAATTCTCCTATGCTAATACATTTGCTAACGCCGCCTTAAGAAATGATTGTATAAGAATCCCCTACTATTGTAGTGCAAATTGCGCTCGCCCGTCTCCTTTAGGTAGTTTGAGAAACAAAAATAAAGCCTACTTATGTTCTGATAAATAAATGCAATTGAAGTTTGTGTTGCTCGATTTGGTTTTACTTTTGCCAAGCAAGTATTGTTGTTGTTTGTTAAATATTTTCAAACAGCTTGTATTACGATTATAATGGATGTACCTTCCACATCATCTAAACACTCATCTGTACAACGCACATTTAAAAGATATAATTCTGATAATAGCAGTGAAGAGGAGGGAACAATTTCCGGTGGTGGTTCTAGCAATGACAAAGAAGAAAGTAGTGAAACAGAATATGATACTGAAGATGAAGGATCTAGAGAAGAAGGTGAACCAAACTGGATATGGAAAAATAGGGAACATTTTCGTGCTAAAGTTTATAACTTTGATGATGTAGATGCAGGTGTAACAGAATTATTTACATTAGCAAATAATGCTACAGAGTATGACTATTTTATAAAATACTTTGACTTAGACATTATGAATCTAATTGTAACTGAAACGAATAGATACTATGAATTTTGTACACAAAATGATGAAGAGCCTCCAAGATCAAGGACTTTCAAAAAGCGCTATTCCGAACATTATAATAGCTATACAATAAACAATAATAATTCTACTTACTCAAATCATATTTTAGCTGAAAATCATTCTTTTATAGACAACTTTGAAATTTTACATATAGAAAATAAGGGCAATAAATTAAACCATTTAGAAACACTTGAAATAAATAGATTTAAAAATTCAGATAACCTACTCAATGATCAATTAGATATTAATAACTCACCCTTATTAAATCTCTTTCCTAGTTTTCTGTGAGATAATCCCGGTAATGTTACTATCTTATTGTTATCTGATTGATATCATAATTACCTAAGTACCCTTATTTACTTTAAATAGTTAGTTTATTTTGTTATGTTATTGATGTTTTCTTAAGTACTTTGTTTTGTTAAATTATTTCGCATATATATTGGATACCGAATTGTAAATTAGTCACATTTGAAAAAGAAGTTGTACTTCGAAACATGTCATGTGTAGTGTTTTTAATTTTTATTTTTTAAAATAAAAGTTTTGTGAAAATCTACCAAATTTGGTTTTACTCATTCAAGATAAAATGGATTTTCATCAAGTAAAGGCCGAAACAATAAAAAATAAATTGACGAAACGATGGGTGAATGTATACATTTTTTGCTTTAGTTTCACTAATGTCACAGATAAAAAAACAATTGCTGAATATTGGTCGAAAA